CAACTTATACCTGACTTACCCTTTTCTGTGAAGCTTTGGGTGCAAACCATTATTCTCATCCCCACAAGTTCACACACATGTAGCTACATTTGTCCACATCTATCCTCGCTTCTCCCTCCCTGTTTCTTCTTCCCATAGACTGCAAAGCTCCATGGGGCATAGACCTGTCTTTGTTTATGTTAGCCTGAAAGCTTCTGGTGGTGTATTCATAATTTCTCTCTTGATAAAGCCAACAGTTCAGTCCTTATAAAGATAAAAATTGGGTTTGATCTTGGCATAAAGCCAGAAGAAAGGGAGCAAACACCTGACACTTTGGGTGTTAGCCAAGCCCATTAATGAGAACTTATCAGATATAAACACACCATTCAATTGTGCTATCTTGTAAGCATGGAATAATAATGGTATCGTGTAAGCGCACAAATTCTAACACTTTGTAACCACTGGAAGGCACACAAAACGTTCTACTGGAGAACAGCAATTTATCAAAAGGACATGTGGGAAATTAATGAAGTAAAACTGCCTCACTTGCATTGCAAACCCAGCGTCCAGTCTCACCCAGCTGGAAGAAACTTAACTTCAAGCGAAGAAGCTTTCTCCACAAATGACATATGTGACTGCCTGTTGCAGAGACCTTCAAGGTATTGCTCAGGACCCTTGGGAGAGTGAGAGGGGCTTGTTCCATTATTCAACAATATACACAGATCAGAAATCTATGGGATTTTCTTCAGAATTAAAAACGAACAACATTGTTGGGAGTTTCTAGACATCAAAGAAGGTGCAAGTCCTAATAAAATGCATTCATCATATACTCAAGATAGCAATAATAATAATGATAATTTATTATTTGTACCCCGCCCATCTGGCTGGGTTTCCCCAGCCACTCTGGGCGGCTTCCATAGAAACCAAAAATATGCTAAAATAAATAATAATATTTATTTATTATTTAAAATAAATAATAAATACATAAATAAATAAATAATAAAAGTCTACTCCAAGTATTATTATTTTAGGACAAAAGTGTTTCTGGATCTGTTTATTGTTATTATTGAAGATGCAGCAATTGTGATAAAAAAAAGCAACTCAACACTTTATCTCCTAGTTTAAGTCGCTGATGAATGAACCCAAATGCAAACCTTCTGATGTCCTTTGCTAGTCTTTGCAAGGTGCAGTTGGGGTGCAAATGGCAATGTAAAGCTGCTGAAAAATATTTCAGAGGGCAGGGGGGAAAACTCTGGTTCCAATGGACAGTAAGAGAGGGGTGGGGGACACAGCAAATGAAAATGAGGGGCAACTTGTGAACAGCGAAGAAAAATATTTCTGAAAAATAGTGTGGTGCAGTTTTAATAACTGGATGTGGCTAAGTCAACCCAGAAGCACAACTGGGTACTAGACTCCAGTGAAGCTTGGGGAAGTAGAGCTACTTTCCCCCACCTGCTTCTATAAAGGTTCCTTTTCTTCCAAAATCATCCATCCATATCCAGCCTTACATCTCAATACTTCTGAATATTTCTGGGAAGGAAGGAAGGAAGGAAGTTCTACACCAACTACTGCAATTCAGTCTAAAATCCGGGATGGAACTTCTAGTCACTGTCACAACAAAACAGGTTACTTACTATTCATGAGATCTAGCAGAAAAACCCTGAGGCATTACAATCCTGGCACAATGTATATTGCCCCAAACAAACCTCTGAATAGCCCCATCTGTACTTTAGATAGATAGATGATAGATGATAGATGATAGATAGATAGATAGATAGATAGATAGATAGATAGATGAGAGAGAGAGAGAGAGAGAGAGAGAGAGATGACAGATGATAGATGATAGATAGATGATAGATAGATAGATAGATAGATAGATAGATGATAGACAGATAGACAGACAGATAGATAGATAGATAGATAGATAGATAGAGATCTAGATAGATGATAGAAATTGCCAAATGAGGTGATATCGAGAGGCTTAGCTGCAACTGAAAGGCATTCAAGAACCTAACTAGGTCAACAGTCAGACGATATAAAGTGCTGTGGCATCTTAAAGACAAACTGGTTTACTGTGGCATAAGCTTTCGTAGGCGACAGCTTATAAGTGATTATAAGTAAGACAGCTCGACTGACTGTGTACTATGATGGGACAGCTTTTGCCAAGACTCATGGAGGCTAAATGGCACGGACAAAGGAGCTAATCAGGGGTCAGCAAACTTTTTCAGCAGGGGGCCGGTCCACTGTCCCTCAGACCTTGTGGTAGTCCGGACTATATATATATTTTTTGGGGGGGATGAACGAATTCCTACGCCCCACAAATAACTCAGAGATGCATTCTAAATAAAAGGGCACATTCTACTCATGTAAAAACATGCTAATTCCCGGACCGTCGCCAGATTTAGAAGGCGACTGGCTGGATCCAGCCCCCCGGGCCTTAGTTTGCCTGCCCATGAGCTAAATGAACCTGAACTTAAAAGGGAGAAAGCAAAGTCTCGCATACAGGACATTTCAGTGACTA